ATTGGAAAAAAAGTTTGAAGATAAGAAATAACTGTTTCTTTGGTCTAAATTTATATATTTAATCATTGTAACATCTTTTCTCATTATCGATAATATGAAACCATTTATTTTGAGTATTGTTGACCCCTCAGGAAAATAATATTTCAGATTTCGATGCAAACAGGCATTCGATATCAATTTTAAAATTTTCATAATTAATAAACTGTTTTCCCTTTAAGCAATGACACACTGATCTGAAATGATGATAGTCAGATGGAGCAATGTCAAGAGCGTAATGAGACGAAAATTTCATATTTCGTGCCATAATCTTTTCTAGAGTCAGCCGGCTAATATCTGTTATTGCATTATCATTTAAGAGGACACCTTAAATTTTAACCAATCATATGCGCTTCTTATTGGTTTAGCACTTTATGGTAGACGTTGCATTTTATATTCCACCAATCACAATGCATAACATTTCTCGAGTGCAGTCCTGGTTTGCAAATGGATTCTCCTTCTCATTAAAGGGTGCTATTTTTTAAAAATTTTCGTTGGATATTATAATGAACAACTCAATCAAAGACAAAAGCTGATCGGAACAAATATCTATGAACATATTTGTAGAAAAGATAGAGTGAAGGTACGTTAGGCCGGTGGGAAAGTAATTGAAGCCGAGATATCAAGTCAGGACCGATAATATTGCATATTCTTTGGATTTTGTCATGAATCCCAAGGTACATCCTGATTATTTTAATTACGTGTTGTCATAAACATCTCCAGCTTACTGAAAAACCGTAAGAATTAAAAGCTTAACGAATTCTGCTTGAGTTTGACTTCTGTTTTTGTTTTTTAATAATCATATTATACACAAAAGGAATTTGCCAATTTGATTACAATTTCATACCAAGCATGAAAATACCTGGAGATTTTTTGTATGGCGCTTACATTCTTCCGAGCAAAGCTTCGTCTCTAAGGTGGAGAATACAAGCCATTTCGTATTTTTGCATATGAAAAGAAGTTATAACAGAAGGAACAGGAAAAGAATTGGCACCCCGCCTCAAAAAGATTTATTGCTTTCTGAACAGGAAAAAAATGTAAGTTTTGCTTCCTGAGCAAGTTCCTGTTTTCCAGAACATTTGTCTGCCAAAAATGGTTGACTGCTTACCAGCAATGGGACTGGTTGTTAATCAATGTTTTATAAAAGAACAATTTTTCTTCAAAGAAATTATCAGACTGGTATAGGATTTGTTCTGTCGTCGTTCCAGTAGCCTGTGCCCGAAAACTGTTAAAAAATAAACAAACAAAATAACCCCAAAGATTACCCGACACTGAAGCATCGTTCAGCGAGAAATCTTCAGTACGAAATTTCGCAAACCATTATTTGTTTTGCGGTTTTTGAATTACATTTTTAACTTTCTTAAATTAAAAAAAAAATCCCAAAATAGATGCTTGGCTTTTATCCATATTCAAAATTAAAATTAATAAAAAAAAAACAAAAAAAACCCCGCAAATTTGGATATTTTTCAAATACACAGTGATATCACAGCTGCAATGAAATATAAAGCAATACTTTTTCAAAAAGTAAAGTTAGCAAAGTTTTAATTAATCTAATGCTATCTGACAACAAAAATAGAACGATAGGCGAACCTATCTACTCCTATTAATCTGTTCACAACACAGGAGGCTGGGCGTTTTTATCGAGACACCATCTTTAGGAAGGTTATCGTATAAGGCTCGAAACCCCTTCTAGGCCAAAAGGAATTCTTGGATTATTAAAACTTCTCTACAGTTTATTGCAGGACTTATAATCAAAGGAATATTAACATAAAATTAGACCACTCAATGAATTTAATATTAGTCAAAATTTGTCAATAAATATGAAAAGAATATTTACCGTATTTTCCGGTTTATAAGACGCAGTTTTTTTCCTAAAATATACCCTGAAGAATATGTGTTGCGTCTTCCAAGACGACCACAAGGCAACGCCCAGGCTCAAGTAAACTTGGACAATCACCTAATTGGTTTGACTGATAGGGACGTGGATTTGTATGTTGAGTCATTACATTTATAATGTTAGCTCTCTATCTAATTCAGCGTTTTATATGATGTAAACTCAGTACTTAACTGTTACAAGTATTTCCAAGATTATAAACCTTCCTGGAGCCGAGCCAGAAGCTTCCAAGCCACAGTGTCTTGTAGGCCGGAAAATACGGTATATATAGAATAAATAAAATAGTAAATGGTTCTCTCGTCAAAGAACCATTTTATTTATTGTTGTTCAAAAGAATTCATAAATAGTTGCGGGTGGGGAATCGCTTTTGTGAAACTATTAGTCAAAAATAAACAAAATGAAATAGTCATTACGAGTAATTTATATTCGTGGATACAGTGTTGAAAAGTTATATGAAAAAAAGGAAGAAAGAAAGAAAAAAAGAAAGATAAAATTAAGAACAATAAAATGGTAGTGAGGTCAGATGTGGCAGTGAGGGTCAGGTGTAGCAGTGAGGGTCAGGTGTGGAAGTTAGGTCAGGTGTGGCAGTGAGTATCAGGTGTGGCAGTGAGGGTCAGGTGTGGAAGTTTCAGGTGTGGCAATCAGGTGTGGCAGTGAGGGTCAGGTGTAGCAGTGAGGGTCAGGTGTAGCAGTGAGGGTCAGGTGTGGCAGTGAGGATCAGGTGTAGCAGTGAGTGTCTGGTGTGGCAGTGAGGGTCAGGTGTGGCAGTGAGTGTCAGGTGTGGAAGTTAGGTCAGGTGTGGCAATAAGTTCAGATATAAATATTTGTTATGCGTCTTTGGACGTCCTGATGGTGTGTTGCCTTGTCGTGGTAAGACACTTGCGTGCTTCAACGAGTGCCAGAGATATCAGGGTGGGGGTTCAGCGCTTAGCAGGTCCAACCAAACTCAACAAGTGGGGCAGGAGTCAGATGAAAGACACACCCCGGTCCTCCAGGTTGGGGGTTGTGCAGTCGGCTTACAACCTACTCAATTAAAAAAAAAAACTAGCTTCTTGCAAAAAACCTCAACGATACCTTCAAACAACGACATGACCGAGGAAGTGTCCTCCAACGTGGAGCGTATGACACGTGCCGGTAAAAATCCCCTGGGAAGGCAGCCGGCACAACATGGGCCGAGCTGAAGAGGATCGCCCAGTACCGCGTCCGTTGGAGAAGTGTTGTTGCGGGTCTATGTTCCCCAAGGAATCAAGAGGCATAAGTAGATAACTATCATCAAGAAGCAGAAGTTAAAATGAGGCAGTGCGAGACACCAACAGACAAAAACTGGTTTATTGGAAGACCTCATAACTACCATCCTGGAAATCGTCTCCAACGACCGAATGTGGGACAGGACCAGACAAGCCCCAATCGAGATTGACATCAAGAAACGCAAATGGGGATGGATCGACCCCACACTCCGAAATCCTGCTTTTAGTGTCACCAGGCAGGCCCTTGACTGGAATCCACAAGTGAAGCGAAAAGTGGGTCGACCAAAACAGACTTGGCGCAGAAGTGTTGACGCAGTGGTGAAGGCGGTCGGCACGACATGGGCCGAGCTGAAGAGGATCGCCCAGAACCGCGTCCGTTGGGGAGGTATTGTTGCGGCCCCATGATGAATGGGGATTTGGAATCTGTTGGTATTTTCAATATTAAGTTCTGATGTCTACTGTCAACTAAAAATCGAGCGGAAAATTAATTTTCTCTTGTCACAACAGATTTTATGACACTTAAGATCTGGGAGGTGTTTTGTCATTGAACGGTAAGTGCGACTCTGAGATCCGAAGCCGTATTGCGATGGCCAAAGACGCATTCCAAGACAGGAGGATTTCTTTGGTAACAAAGAAAAGAGTACTGCTGTCCTCCTTCACGGCAGCGAATGTTCAACGATGAAGAAGGGGCAACGGAGGTATGGTTCTACAGAAGGATGCTAAGGATACCATGGATCGAACATGTGAGCAACGATGTGGTTTTGGAGAGGATACAAACAAGGAGGAAACTTATACTTAACATCAAGAAGAGGCAGCTGAAAGTTCTGGGACACGTAATGAGAAAGGAGGACTTTGAGAATCTGATACTCACAGGTCGAATAGAGGGGAAGAGAGATAAGAGAAAGCATGACATGACTAGCGGACTTTAGCAAGTGGATGACAGAATGTGGTCTGGGGGAGGTGGCAGAGGGACGAAATTTATTGAGGACTACAAGGGATAGGGAGGAAGTGGAGAGCCACGATCGCTCACGTCCTGAAGGGACACGGTACATAAAAGAAAAGACGTAAAACTGATTCGTCCGGCAATTTAATTCCAACAAACATTTAAAATTGGTGATTTCAAAACTTAACACGGACCTTTCATATGAAGCCGTAGTGACCTAATTCTTCTCTGGAAAGAAATGTCAGCTTTTCAGTGGATTGCAACTAACGTCGAGTTGGGGAAGTCTCCTAGAATTTTAGGCTTGGAATAAACCTCCTATATTCCAAGCCTCGAAGAAGGGCTTGCGAGATAGATCAACCAGATAATTCTCCGTGTATTATGATTTTTATTTAAAAATAAAAGATAAAACGTATAATTCAATAAAAAAAAATCAGTGAAGTTTACGGAAAAGGTATTGTGAATGATCAAACGCGTCAAATGATTAAACATGTTAAACAATTAAAGATGTTAAGCGGGTTAAATGATTAAACGTGTTAAGCGTGTTAAATGATTAAACGTGTTAAATTATTATTAAATTAAACATGTTGAGTCATTAAGCGTGTTAACCGTATTAAATGATTAAACGTGTTAAATTGTTAAACGTGTTAAATGATTAAACGTGTTAAACGATTAAAGACGTGTCAAATGATTCAACGTGTTGAATGATTAAACATGTTGAGTCATTAAACGTGTTTTTCCCTAAACGATACTCTACAATCGGGTACTTTGCGTTTTAAATTTATTCCGACACCAACAACTGAAACGATGACATAACCAAACCTACATCGATTTGATTGCTTTTTAGAAGAAAAATGAACTTTTTTTTTGTTACGTATTAAAT